TTGTCCTCGCAGAGACGAGCCCTGCACTGCCCCACACAGCACGTGTGCTGAGGGCGACAGTTGACACAAAGAAGAATTGAAGCTAGGCATGATTTTAAATACGCCACATCAAGAGTAAGTGTAGCCACACGCTCCGTGCATGCAGTGGGGATGGCAGGTGGAAGAGGAATCAGGCAATCTGACCATTCAGGCAAAAGCAACAGTTTTGGCCTCAGTAAAGAGATAATTCATCTGTATTTTTCTTTCTTGTGGCCTAGGGCCCTCCCAGATTCCCAGGGGCAAGGATGTCACAGCACAGATCCAGCCCACTTCTGTCACTAGGGAAGCACCTACAGCCAGGTAATTTCCTCCAAATGGTTTCTCTTTGGCTAAGAAACAGAGAGTTTGTTGCCTGGGCAGGGCCTGGGGAGGCAGGATGCCCGAGGAAAAGGGTTGCCACCCTGACAGGGTCATCCTGGTCAGGACACACCAGACCAGCAGGACTGGCCCTTTCCCCAGTGACCCAGTCATGCAGAGCAGATGCCATCTGTCACCTGCGTACTGGCTTCCAGTTATGCCTCCAATAAGCTACAGTTACTGAGTACCAACTCTCTGCAAAGGCATCCACTGACTGTGGTAGAGACACAAAGATGAGTCAGCCATGGACCTGCCTTCCAGAAACGTACAATTTAATAGGAAGAGGGCAGACAGAAGCCAGCCTTGGTCATTAGAACCCTTCTATCTGGTCCCTCATTCCCCACCTCTGCATCCCCCTCCATCAGTCCCTCATGCTGGGGGTCGGGGGCTCTCACTCATTCAGCCCTCACCACACCAGGTATCGCAGGAGTCCTGGGCCCCCCCACGATGAATAACGAAGATGCCTGTGGTCTGGTGGGGGGCCCTTCATGCCCATAGCTGGAGACGAGCCTGCTCCTGAGCAGGAGCTCTCCTCAGCAGGAGCCACGTCCCTGCTGCGGGGCCACGACAATCACCTCTGGGCTGAGGACCCCGAGTCTCCCCGATGGGTGGGCTGCACTCTGGTCAGGGAACCTGGGCCCCTTTACTTCATTCAGCCTGTCCCAGACCTACCAAACCAGGGGGCACTGGGAGGCACAGCTGCTGCATGCATGACGGTCCACAAGAAGATGGCAAAATTCTTGTCCCTAAGCTGACCCGAAGCCTCATGGGGGAGTTGGACAAGTGCACGCATCACAGTATGTTGGACACTGTAGCAGGGACATGTTTGGGTGTGGCAGCGAGCAGAGTGGAAGCAAACCAGTTCTGTCCAACAAGGGGACACTGCAAAGCTCCCATCATGGCATGGGACGTGGTGGAAGCAACTCTGCGGGACGCTGGACTCCAGTGTTTGTTGAACACCAGACACTGTGTTAAGTATTTTACCAGTGTTTTATTTAGTCCCCGCAATAAGCTAGTGAGATAGGGGTTATCATTCCTGTTTTACAGATGAGCAAACTGAGGCGCAGAAAGGATCACACATTGATCTGGCATAGTATTAATTGAGCACCTATTGTGTGCTTAGCAGTGTAGACCCACATCCCTTCCTCATGGAGCTCGAATTCCACAGGTGAAGTCACTTGCCCAAGATGAGGCTGGCATGTGTCAGAGCCAGGATTCAGACCTAGGTCTGGCGGCCTGCAGGGCTTGTACTTTTTCCCACCTCACCCCAGAACACCCTAGCCCTCAGGACACCCTTCTTATGGGGAGCATAGACTGGCCCTGCCAACCCCTGTGGGGAATTTGAGGATTCAGGAGCAAGGCTGTGTCAGGGGTGGGAGAGGAGCTGCTGATCCGTAGAACCTGACCACCCGGTGTTTTCCCCAGGGAGGGGAGGAGGGTGGAGCTTCCCCAGGGAGATTTCAAGGGAGGATGGGGGTAGTCTGTGTTCCAGGGTCAGAGGGTGACACCCTCTTCCTGCTGAAGTGGGGAATCCCCTTGGATTTCTCTGGGTCCATGGGAGGGGCCTATTGTTTCTCTACGGTTCAGATCCTCAAGGGAGGAAAACTCAAGGATTAAATCAGCCTCTGGCATCTGCCTGGCTCCTTGGTTTAGGACTCAGCTCCTGCCCTCCCATCCCTCAGCCGCCAGGAGGCCCGTGGCACTGCCGCTGGGCAGTGATGTTTTCTTTTAACCCAAGGAAGTGATCAGAGATTTGCAAACCTCCAATCCCCCCCGACTCGCAAGGAAAAAAATATAGGATTTTACTCACCATAGCAATCAATGTAAATTGCCAATGTTTGGGGATTAAATAAAGTGTGGTGAAAATCGACATAAAATAATGAAATACTATGCAGCCATTACAAATCATTATGGAGAAAAAAATGACATGAGAAGAGTGCTTTATAATAGATTTGGTCAGAATCCAGGCCATAAAACAATGTACATGATCTCATTTTTAAAAAATATATATGCATAGAAAAATGTCTGGAAGGATACATAGCAAATGTGAATTGTAGTTGTCTCTGGGTAGCAGAAGTGTAAGTTTTCTCCTGTTTTCAATATTTTCCAAATTTCCTTCAGTGAAAATGCATGTCTTTTGTAATTATGGAGAGAAAATCCCCACAGTATATACTGGAGAGAGCAGAGAGAGGGAATGTTTTCTTTTGGGCCTGTGCTTAGGTGGCCCCAGGCCCCAGCCGAGTTCCAGGAATGCAGACACTGTAGAAGCAACAGGGGAAGCCTGGGAGCAGCAGAGTGAGGCCAGCGCGAGGAGAATTAGCCAGGCTTCGCTGGCCAGGTCTCGTCTTAGATGTCAGCTCATCTCCATGTCACCCGGCCTGGCTGGAAGAGGCCCCTCCCATCCTTATTCTCCACCTTTAACCCTATCACATTGTCTTCAGGGCACTTGACTAGACTTGCTGCCTGCTTCTCTGTCCTCTAGGTGATGACCTGTCTCCTGCACCAGAGGGCAGCTCCTGGGAGCAGGGACCCCGTCTGTCTGGCTCACTCTGACTTCCCGTTGGGGAAAGGGCCCCAGCTGGATCTTGGTTGTCAATCAACTAGGATTGCTCAGTAGCCTCAAGTTACAGGTATTGATTCAAAGGCTACACGTGGCAGTGAGAAAACGGAAATAATTTCCTGGGAATCTAGAAACAGGCAGAGAGCTGGTTGTTAGGACCAGAAATGGGTGAAGCTCAGCAACCTAGAGGACATGGCCCAGCCTTAGTAACAGCCATGGCCACTTACAGGTGTTGTGGAAATGCCAGCTTTGTGCTTTTCATTTTATAAACAAGGAAAGTGAAGGCAGAACCAATTTATCTCAGTGTCCCTTGCACCTTTTCTTCCCATCCCCCTGCTGCTGCCAGCCGACTCGGCCTCCCAGCCCACAGCTTCCGCTCCTCCCTGTGGACCTGCTCAACCCAGGTCCCCACTCCAGCCATCCTGCCGAGTCTGCCCTGACGAGGATCCCCGTGACTCCAAGATGCCAAACCCAATGGTTAATTCTCTGTCCTCATGTCACTTGACCTATCACATCCTCCTTGAAACTCCTTCTCCTGGTTTCCCTCCTGTTTGACTTGCTAGTCCTTGGTCTCTTTTGCTGAGCTATCGCTGGAGCTCAGTCCTTGGACAGCTTCTCTACTGACATCCCCTCCTGGTGATCCCCTGTGATGGCTTTGAAGAGCCACGTGCTGCGCACCCGCAGATCTTCATTTCCAGCCTGGACCCCTCCCCTGAACTCCAGACTCACATCTCCACCTGCCTACAGGCCTCTCTACGTGAGTGTCTAAAATGCATCTCGCGCCTAACAGGTCCAAAACTGAGTCCTCATCTTCCACCCTGAATGGCTCCGTGAGCAGGCGTCCACAACTCCAAAAACGGGAGTTCCATCCTCGCAGTTGCTCAGGCCAAAAATCTGGGAATTCTCCTTGACTTCTGTTTTTTATCTCTCACTTCCAGTCCTTCAACAAATCCTATTGGCTCTGCTTTCTAGAATCTGACCACATCTCAGATGCTACTGCTCTGGTCCAAGACACCATTGTCTCTTACCAAGGTTTCTGCAGTAACCTCCTAACTGGGTCTGCCCTTCCTCCCCATTTTATTCTCAAAACAGCATCCAGAGTGATCCTATTAAAATGTGGGTCACATCATGTCACTTCTCTGTATGAAACCCTCCAGTGGCTCCATCTCAGAGTCAAAGCCCAAGTTCGTACAAGGGCCCCCGTTGGATGCCCTGCACACTCTGGAGCCTCTCACTTCCTCTCTGATCCCTTCTCTTCCTTCCCCCTCATTCACTCGACTCCACCACGTTGCGCTCCTCGCTGATCTTAGCATGCCAGGCAGGCTCTCACCTCCAGGCCTTTGTCCTTGCTGTTCCCTCCACCTGGAAAGCCATTTCCTCATTAATTGTCAGGGTTCATATGCTCAGTCCTCACTTCTCTCAGGTCTTTGTTCATGATTTCTCTTCTCAGGTCTCTGGCCTTCCCTGGACACACTTTTTGAATTTCGACACTCCTTCCCTCCTCCTGCCCCAACACGCCCTACCCACTTCTCCTGCTTTATTTTTTCTCCATAGCACTTACCACCTCTGACTAGTATATTTTTAATGTATTTATTTTGTTAGTGGTTGGTCTCCCCCAGCAGATGGTAAGCTCTGTGAGGACAGAGGTTTGCATCTGTTTTGTCCACTGTCACATCCCCAGAGCCCTAGGACGGTGCCTGGCATTTCGTAGATGCTCAGTAAACATGTCCGAGTACCTGAGTGAAGGGACCACTTACTGTTCACATAAGGCTTTGAGACAGGGTGGAAAGAGCACCAGGGTTTGTGCCATGAGAGGAACATTGTTAAGGCCTGTTGGGCTGAGAGAGCAAGAAATCCTCCCGGTGGAGAACGCCCCTGGTGGAAGCCAGCAGGCAGCCAGCTCGCACCTCGGTGGCGTCTGAAGAACTCACCACCTCACCGCCGCCGACGGCTCTCCTCACTCAGCTTCCATCCAGGCTGCTTTGCTCAGAGACCCGTCCTCAGTGCTCTGCCTCAGTCCTTTGCTTTCCTTTTTTTTCTGCAGGTGCCAGAGTTTACAGCCTGTTGGAGGAAGACAGCAGCAAGGTAAGAGAACAATAAGACTATGTTTCGTTTGGTGCTTCCCAACTTAAAAGGCCTTGAAAAGTGTTCAAGGAAGACCAGGGTGCTCGAAGTGTTGGCAGCTGGACGAAGTGAAGGCCCAGGGGGTTTGTGCTGACTTCCTGGATCGAGTGAGAACCCTGGGACAGCAGGGCCAGCTCAGTGTCATCAGAGATGGCTGTGAGGTCTGTAGACCCAGGAAAAGAGTGCTTCCCTTGGGAAAATGTGGCACCGTCAGGGCCCACAGCACGGTGCTGCTGCTCTGCCTTCCTCACCTGCCTCCACGCCTCCCTCGCCACTTGCTCGGAGGTCCGGCCTGGCCAGGCGAAGGGTCTAGGGCTTTTGCTTTTAGCGAGGCTGGTTCAGTTCTGCCTGGTTCAGTTCTCAGATCCAGAGAAACATACTAGGATCCTTCTAGCATAGGGCTTCTCTGATTCTGTGTTAAATCTCAGTCCAAATTTTAAAAAGTGGCAAACTCCACAAATAATGGGTGTGTGGAGGGCGCACCGGCACGCGCTGCCGCTGTGCCTGGGAAAGGGGCGGCTCCTAAAAACACGTCCGGCCTCTGACTGAGCAGCTGCGCGTCCGGAACTTATTTTAGGAAGTGGTCACATCTGTGCAGAGGTGTCTGTTCAAAGATGGTTGTAATTGCATTGCTTATAATAGGAAAAAAGGAAAGATCTGAAAGCCCAACCAAAAGGAATTGGCTCTTCAAAACTGGCACGTCCCCACAAGGGACTGTCATTAGGCAGAATGATGTAGATGTGTATTTATTAACAAGAGAGATATTTGGATGTGTCGTTTTTTAAAAATAGAAAAATCTTACAAAATATGCAAAGAAAGTAGCTTTGGACTCAGCCTGAAGAGTTGAAATCCAGAGTAGTCGCTTCACCAACCTGGGAACTCGGGCGAGTGACGTGACCTCCCTGAGCCTCTTTCCTGCCTGTAAAAGGGCGACTGAAGCTGGGAGAGCTTGGCGGTGGGAACACGCTAAAGCCCGCGGCATCTCCAGCACGAGTGACAGCTCAGCTGACAGGTGCTGGGGCAAGACACGGAATTGACAGTATTCTTAACCTGTGTATGAGCTGGAAAACATTCTGGAAATTCATAGACCAGGAGTGGGGTTTTACTGTAGAATCATGAGTGGTTTTCAATATTTTCTCATTTTTCTGCAAGGAATATATACTACTTATATAATGATGGTGCAGTAAAAAAAAAAGCGAGTAACCGCTTGAAATGTTTTTTTAAAAACATGCAGTGCATTCAGCAAGCAAGTCCACTGTAGCCCCTGGGCAGGGCCCTGGAGAGCTGAGGTAGATGCAGGGAGGAGAGGACATAGGAAGGACAGCGGTGAAGGAAGAGAAAGGGAGGTCGGACCCGAGGGCTGGAGCCCAAAGCAAGCGTGTGTGTGTGTCTCCCCACCCCCTTCGCTGGCACTTCCTGGGTGGGCTCCAGGTAGGAGCTCTGGTAACCTAAGGCCCATATGTCCCAGCTTCAGAGGATTATGGACCTGTGCAGCCTCCTTCCTCTGCTGAGACAACCCGCCTCCAGCACATCCAGGTGGGAGCCCTGTGGCTCTAGCCCTGGGCCTGCCTCATCCACCTTTAGTAAACCCAGCACTTTTGTCCATGTCCGGAGTAGGAAAGGCAGGGAATCCTAGTGAATTCCCAGAAGTCATCCTAAAAGGATTAGCACCTCTCTTCTTTGGCAGCCCAGTAGGGTCCACACCCAAGAGCAGGGTCTCCCAGGCAAATACAGCCTGCTGCGGAAGGGAGACAGTGACCAGCTGCCTGGCTTCCCTCCCCACCCCTACCCACCAGCTGCCTCACTGGCTGGCGACATTGGGAGAAACTCTTCCACACGATGAGGTTTATGCCCACTCCTGCCAGTTCACGAGCATTCTTCTCTTTGGGTTTTTTTGTGTGTGATAGTATCTTGCTATGTTGCCTAGGCTTGATCCAAACTCTTGGGACCAAGCAATCTGCCTGCCTGGGCTGTGTAGCTGGAATGAGCCACCACACCCATCTCATCGAGAATGTTTTGGGCATGGCTCATCCGCATAGGTGAACTTTCCAAATAATCAAATTTAATCTCATCACTTTGCAATTTTTTATTGTACCCATTTGAAATTAATTTATATTTTATTAAATTTATCAAAATAATACACACATTCAAAATAGCTCGAAGAGAGGATTTTGAAAATGTCATCACAAAGAAATGGCAAGTGTTTAAGGTGATGGATATGCTAATTACCCTGATCTGGTCATTACACGATGTATATATGTATCAAAACATCACACTGCACCACATAAATATGTACCATTATTATGTGTCAATCAAAAACAATATAAAACTTAAAGCACACATGTGGTTTAAATGTCAATTGTTAGAGATGTTGAGCATTTTTTTATGTTTGCTGGCCATTGTTCTGTCTTCTTTTGAAAAGTTTCTGTTCATGTCCTTTGCCCATTTATTGATGGGGTTGTTTGATTTTTTTCTTGTTGATTTTTTTGAGTTCTAGATAGATTCTTGTTATCAGCCCTTTATTGGATGTGTAGAAAGCAAATATTTTCTCCCATTCTGTACTCAATTACAAAAAATGATGGTGATCTAGCACCTCTTGTATTTTCCTGAATAGAGCTTGAGCCCATCCTCTGAAGTGAGGTATCACAAGAATGGAAAAATAGGCACCACTTGTACTCGCCATCAAACTGGCACTGACTGATCAACACTAAGGTCCTCACTCGGTAGTAATATTCTTTGGGGGTTGGGGGTTTGGGGGTGGGTAAACTCACAACTAATGGACGCGGTGAGCGTTGTAGGGGGGAAGGGGGATGCCTCAAATCATGGTTGGGATGTGGCAAAGTCATAACATGTAACAGAAATGTTTGTACCCCCATAACATTCTAAAATTAAAATATATATATATGTATATCAATTGTACTGAGAGGTTCATAATAAAAATCCCCTCCCCATCTTTCTCAGTCCCCCTCTCTAGAGATAGCCTCTTTCAACCCTTTATTAGATCCTATTTCTATTTATGTTGTTATTTCTCGATCTACCAATTTTGGACACTTACCGTGATAGATGAGGATTAAGCTCTCCTGCAGAACCACCCCCTCTTCTCCTCCCTCCACTGTCCCCGTAAGAACATAACATGGTTTGTGGTTAACTCAATAGTGAACGTGGACATAGTCTTCAATGCTGAACTAAGTAGTGTCCTTGAGTTCTGGAAATTTTCTTGTATTATTTCTTTAATAATTTTCTCTCCTCTATTTTATCTGTTAGATCATCTTGGATTAATCTTCTAATTTTCTTACATTTTTCTCTCCTGTTTTCCATCTCTTTGCCTTTTTGGTCTTTCTTGGGAAATCTTCATTGACTTCCTGCTCCAACTCTTCTGCTGATTTTTGAAAAAAAAAATTGGCATTCATGTTTTTAATATCCAAGTACTCATTCTTGTTCTGATTGTTCTTTTTCTATAACACCACATTCTTGTTTTGTACATACACTATCTCCCTCTTATCCCTCTTGAGGTACTATTTATTTTCATGAATGTCTCTTTTGTCTTAATATTCTTCTTTTCTCTATTTTGACTTTGCTTCTACCTGGCTTCTTCTGTTCTTCTCTCTCTTCTCGCCCTCTTCCATGTTGGAGGCTTTCCTTAAATACCTAATGTCTTGGCTGTCTGTTGATGCTTGTAACAGCAATAAAAGATGAACTAAACTGTGTTTGCTCTGGGAGAATTTATCAGCTGGGGCTTCACTAAAGGAGCAAGCCAGTCTTTTCATTCACAGGCCTTGAATGTCAGCATCTTTTTTCTCGAGCTAGGTTTCTCAACCTTGGCACTAGGGACGTACTGGGCCAAATAATTCCTTGTTGTCAGGGGCTGTCTTGTGCTTTGTAGAATGTTTAGCAGCGTCACTGACTTCTACTCACGAGATGTCAGTAGCAACCCCCCTCCCAAAGTTGTGATAACCAAAAGTGTCTCTAAGCATCGCCAAATGTCCCCTGGGGGCAAAGTCACCCTGTTAATAACCACTATTCTGGAGCCATTCAGCTTCTCAAGAGAAGCATTCTAACTCCTTGTTCCAGTTGTCTGTTGCTGCGTAACAAACCACCCAAAACTTGGCAGCATAAGACAAACATTTTTTTATTATGCTGCAAGTCAGGGAATCGAAGGGCACAGCTCTTCGTGGCTCTGCAATGTCTGGGGCATCAGCTGGGATGACTGGGATGACGGAGAGTGACTGGGATAGCTGGGGCTGAAGGACCCAATTCCAAGATTGTTCTTACTCATCAGGGAGAGCTGCACGGCCAGGCTCAGCTGGGACTGTTGGCTGGAGAGACCACATATGGCCTCTCTAGCACAACGGCTTGGTCGTTGGCCTCCTACAGGTAGCTCAGGTCTCCAGTGTGAGTGTTCTGGCCAAACAGATGGAAGCTGTGTGGCTGCCTGTGGCCCGGCCTTGGGAGTCACATGCTATAGTCACAAGCCCACTCAGCTTCAGAGGAGGAGATGCAGACCCACATCTCAGTGGAAGAAGTGTCAAAGAATTTGCAACCATGTTTTAAATTCACCACACTCCTATCCAAGGTGATAGATACCTGGGGCAGGGCAAGGTGAGTGGGTGGGACACTGAGTCCCACTGTTCACTCTTCAGACTTTACCCTCATCCTCCTGTTTTCATCCCTGTATTTATCTGCCTCCCCTCCAGCCTGAGTCTTCTGTTCAGTGCCTTTGTCTCGGGCTGTGTGGGGCGGGGTGTTGGGGTAGGATCTGGGCAGGATTTCAGCCAGGTGCCTTGTTGATTACCCCACTGGCTCCTGTGCCTTGCCCCACCGTCTGTCTGTAGCACCTCTTCTCCTCCAGGGCCCTCAGCGTGCCCCTCTGCAGGCCCTTAGGAGACTCGCTTCCTCCACGTCAGCCACCGTTTCCCTACCTGCCTTCCAGCTTCCAGGAGTTTGTAGAAACCTCTCAGCCA